GGCACCAAGAAACTGGAGCCCCTCTCCCCCGCCAGCTACCATCAGCCGGAGGGCATGGCCAGGATCCTGAACAAGAAGGCGGCCAAGTCAGGCAGCAGCGAGGAGGCCAGGCTCTCTGTGCTCCCCCAAGTGGGGAAGGATAGTGTCCCCCGGGATGGAGATGGAGCCACGGTCCTTCCCAATGAGGTAGGTGGGTGGGGTCTGCCCTTTTTCTTGGGAGGTGAGGTTGGCTTATGAGGTTCAAACTCTTGGTTTTCAGACTGAGAAATGTGGTTGTGTGTTTCAAAAAGTCCTTGTGCTGATCTGGGATGGGGATTGGAAGGCCCCAGACCTGGAACAACAGACCTAATGGACACTCGGTCTGAATACAGGAAACTAGTGAGCATGACTTTCGTAGCTGCTTGTGCCACCACACACCAGAGATTGCCTGCATCCCCTCCAGGGGAGAGGCATGCTATCCGCTCTCCCGCCACCCAGCAGATGCTGGAGCCAGCTTGTTTGGTTTGTGAGAGCTGATCGTGTCCATCTGTGTTCAGTGACTTACTTCACCTTAGTACCTTGAGATCAGCAACTGTGGGAGGCTTTTTTTTGACACCATGAAAATTGGAAATGCTACAAATCAGGGCTTCTCCTCTCACTCCTGGAAAACTAGTTATTAAATATTTACCAGTACACCACTGCCCCCAGCCCACCAAGACTCCAGGCCTAAGTGCTTCCATATTCTCTGAGACTCCTTGGCTGCTCACTCCACTCCTGGTATCAAGTTCAGATCTAGGTAGGGATTATGTGCGTGTTGGTAAAAGAATGCATATAAGTTAGCTTTGCAGAAAAGGAAATGACAAGAGTATCTCATGGAACCCAAGGTTATACTCCACTTATAATTATTATAAAATATTTAATATGTTCCCTGTGTTGTACAATATATCCTTGTAGCTTATTTTATACCTATAAGCCCCCTACCCTTATGTTGCCCCTTCCCCCTTCTCTCTCCCCACTGGTGACCACTAGTTTGTTCTCTGTATGTGTGGGTCTGCTTCTTTTTTGTTATACTCACTGGTTTGTTGTATTTTTTAGAGTTCACATATAAGTGATATCATACAGTATTTGTCTTTCTCTGTCTGACTTATTTCACTTAGCATAATGTCCTCCAAGTCCATCCATGTTGCTGCAAATGGCAAAATTTTATTCTTTTTATAGCTGAGTAGTATTCCACCATGTGTGTATACCACATTTTCTTTATCCATTCATCTGTTGATAGACACTTAGGTTTCCATATCTTGGCAATTGTAAATAATGTGCAGCTGCACTGTTTTTGATTCAAGTATAATTGATTTACAATGTGTTAGTTTCAGGTGTACAGCAAAGTGATTTAGTCATATTTGGGTATATATATATTTTTTTCTTAAATTATTTTCCATTATAAGTTATTGTAAAGTATTGAATATGGTTTCCTGTGCTTTACAGTAGGTCCTTGTTTATCTATTGCATATATAGTAGTGTGTCTGTGTTAATCCCAAACTCCTAATTTTTCCCTCCTCCACCTTGTACAGCAGCCTTTAGCCATTATCCCTGTGTGTTGATAATATTAAAAAATTAGAAAATACCTAAAATGCACATAAAAGTGAATTGGATAAATAAATTAAGCTATTTTCACTCAGTGGAATAGTATGTGGCCATTAAAAAGAAGGAAATCTAGACATACATAACAACACAAAAGTGTTCATGTTTGCAATTGCAAAACAGACTGTAGGGGGTGAGATCCTTCTGGTAAATGTATGTGTGTGCAATGTTTTGAGAATTTATCTTTCATGGACAATGTCCACTTTCTTCCCTGTATATTCCAGGATTTATTACATTCGGGAATATTATTTATGAACAGGCATTAATTCTCTAGTGGGGGGAAATAATTTTTAAAAATTGGTCGAGAGAGGGGCTACAAACCCCGGGAACTGATCCCTGGGCACAGCTGAGTCCAGATTCCTTGCCTGGCTGGCCACCAAGTACATGCGTAGTCAAGACCTCCTGGTTCTTCCTGACTTCTTCTTCCCTCCTCCTAGGATGCTGTTTGTGACTGTAACACCCAGTCTCTCACCTCCTGCTTCGCCCGGCCATCCCGCTCTGCCATCCGCCACTCTCCTTCCAAATGCAGGCTGCACCCTTCAGAGTCCAGCTGGGGTGGGGAGGAGAGGGCAGCCCCCCACAGCGAGTGACGGAGCAGCCGGGCTCCCCACCTCAACCAGCCCAATCCCTGGATAGCTCATGGGAACCAGCGAAGAGGAGACGAGGCAAGGGGCCCCGACCCCTGCATCCCTCGTCCTGGAGAGACAGCAGCTGCACCACTGCCAGAGAAGAGCTTTGCCCTCCAGGTAAAGCGGGGCCTCCTGCTGACTGCTGGGTGGTGATCTCTGACTTCCCAGGGGAAGGCAGTGAGAGGGAGAAAGACCAAAACTGGGCTTCAGAAGCGTCTCTAGAGAGATCCCTTGGGAGCTGATCCACTGAGAGCTTATCCCTGGGTTGTAAGGGAGAGCCTTGCCTGGTTCTACCCACACCCACTTCTCAGAAGAGCCAAGGAAAGCATACAGTTCCGGCCATGCCCCTCAGGGAAAAGGGCTCACAGAGATGTTCCCTGCCAACCACATCCCTCTTCATGGGGAGGAAACACTGATGAGAAGAACAGGCTTTGCTCTTGGGCTCAACTTGGGGGTCCTGGTGGAGCTGAGCTGGGCATCACCCCATCCCTTCCTTCCCTCCACCACCTCCTCCTCCCAGCCCTGCTGCTCTGGACTGCTGTGGCTCAAGGGGATATGATAGGGCAGTAGCCAGGGGTCAAGTATCTGCTTGGAGTCCTGGAGCCCTGGATCTCCCTGCCCAAAGCCTGGATGCAGCAGCAAGGACTGGAAGACAAGGTAGAAACGTGTGGGGCTCAGGGTCGGGGAGCCACTGGAACTGCGTTTCTTGCCAAGGTGACTTGGGGGTCCCCAACCTTCCCAGGAGACTCCTTGAGGACAGAAATGGGTAGAGCAGTCTCAAGACCTGGTGCACATATACATGCCTGATTGCCCACTGCCTTGATTGCTGGGGCCTCTCTCCCTGGCACCCTGGGGAGGCTGTTGCATCTCCACTGTGTTTACATCCTATGGCCGGTGGAGGGTGAGGATATTCCCAGCAAGAGACTCCCAGTTGGCCGGGTCAGGCCAAGGAGCAATCCAAGAGGCTGGTGCCCCAGGACATGGCAATAGACTGGGGCCTGGAAACACATTTCTTGCCTAGGTTGTTTATTTGAATTTTTCTTACTATAAATATTTAAGGTGGTTTTACTTTATTTTAATAATTTAATTTACCCTAAAGTCCTTAAGGTAATTTATTGCAAGTTGAGACGTACTCTTGCCACTGGGACAACGTGAGGCTTCGAACGCAATGGACGGGTGTGGGGTCCCCCATGTGGATAAGGAACTCGCAGCTGAGCTCTGGTCTCCTGGTCAGGCTTGGCGGGTCCCCCAGCAGAGCCGGAGCCCTGCAGTTTGCTCCCCCAATGCCGCTGACCGTTTGACCCCGGATTACTACTTTACACTCAGCACCCGGTACTTACCTGGCCCCCAGCCGTCAGTCTGTGAATGTTCACTGACAGGGTGGGGGACTGGACCAGTGTCACCACTTCCCAAACATTTTCTCTTTTCCTTCTCATTTTCTTCTCTCCCTCTAACACCTTTTTTTCAATGAGTCAAACATGGATTCCTAAGGCTTTATCAAGAGCAGGGAGAGCTCTCCAAGTTCCCTAAGTGAGAACTCGCAGGAAAACAGGACTGAATTCTGAGAATGTTGTTTATTGCAGCTTTGCACATGGATGTGAGAGTGTCTGCCAGCCTGCTTCAGTTCTCACCAGCCTGCCAGCCTTTTCACCAGCCTCTCTCTTTAGCCTTATGGCCTCTCCTGGCTCGACTCCCAGCCCTAACTGTACTGCCCGCCCTTCCCCACATCCCATGAGAGCTGCATGAGCCATCGGATGGATTGCAGCATGGCTCATTGCAGTGTGGTGGTGGTTTTGGGGGGGTACTCAGACGGCCTCCCCCTTGGTGCCAATGAACCCATTTTGGATGTACACGTGCCCCCACATCTGTGTGTGATTGGCTGGAGGCCCAGATGGATAAAGCAACTTATCTGTGAATTCCCTATGAGGAAAACCATAAGCCAGCAGCTTTGGTAGTTTGCCCCCAGTACCCAGGAGATGCCTCTGCACTCCTACCCACCAGCTCCCAGTCTTACCCTTTCTCGGGCACCTGGACCAGTTATCCAAATCCCTTCATCTCCATTCCCCATCAGCAGAACTTTGGGGTCATATTAGTGCAACCAGACACTTCCTCACACCATAGTGACCTGTGTGGGCAGAACAGGCAGGCCGATGGAGCCGTGGGCCAGTCCCCTCGGGATGCCACTGCTCCCACCCAAGAGATCAGGGGGCCCCTCCAAGGTTGTCTCCAAGTGAGGGGATTCACACCAGGCCACGAGCCACCAGAGGCCTTCTCCCACCTTCCCAAGCTGCGAGGGCCAGGGAGGCTGTGCTTCTAGCCTTGGGGAGAAATCCTCGTGAGACCTGAGCCCTGCGGACCATTCAGCCTTACCGTCATCCTCGTCCAAGATTGTCCTTGCCATCCTCGGTGTCTTGGTACCTGGCCGCCCGGCCCCCAGCCAGTGTCAGAGGCCCCAGGTCATGGTTTTCAGTCAAGTCCCAGTTTCTATTTTCTGCATGCCACTGTGCGAGGTCACTCATCACTGTTCCGACAGAAGCCTCTGAACGTGGGGCTTGATGGGGTTCAACATGTTACCTGTAAATACTGGTTTGGTTTGATTTTTAGCATTTTAATTAGTAACAGTGTTTTCTTTTTTAGGGTGGGGGGTTGGTTTGTAAAAACTCTCTACTCATTTGGAATGTAATTTCTAAGTTTGTTTCTTTAAATGCCTTTTAAGTCTTGGTAACATTCCCAAAGCAGAAAACTGCCTGGCCCGCAGCGGGGACTCCCCTGGAGCATCGGGTCCCAGGAAGGAACACTACCCTTTTCCCCTTTCTTCCCCTTCCTACCACCCCTTGCTTTTTTACTCCTAGCAACTTCCTCGTCCTTCCCTTCCTCCTTCTCTACCAATCTTTTTCCTTTCCCCCATCCCCATTTTCTTCAACCAAAGTCCCAAGGTACCCTGAAGTCCTATTCCCTACAGACCGCCAGGCTTAGATCCATTGTGTTGGCACGAATTGGTTGTGGGGAAATGGGAGAACAGTTGGCATGGTGACCCCAAAATGGACCATCTTGTGTTTCTTATGTCTGACTTCTTCCCAGAGCCAAATTAGACCCTCCTGGGGGCAATGATGTCTGTATTCTAAATGAAAATCAAACTACTTTGTCACATTAGTGTCTCCTAGATCCTGCATGCATATGACATCAGTACCCAAGTTCCTGTCACCCTGGCAGCCCTTTGCCCCCAGTTCTTTCCCCGCCAAAGGCTGACCAATTGAAAAATACCCTCCAAGAGGCCTTGCTCAAAATGGGCCCTTCCCCTTGGGCTCCCCCAGAACACTTCTCTACCGGCTGCTCTCCCAGGCGACAAAGTCAAGGGCCCAAGGACTTGAGCCTCTTCTACCCTGATTGCAACATGGCTCTATCGTGCCTGACCCCATGCACCTTTCATGGTTTCATCATCCAGCCTGTTCTCTTGCTCACCCAACTTCCAGGCCCTTCCCAGTTACGAAGTGGGAGAATGTCCTTCTACCTTCTGCCTGATCACACTCCTTATCCCCAAGCCAACCCCCTAGTGCCCTGGCCCTGGAGGTGACACACCCTTCACTAGTGTTAGTGAATAGAAAGAGAGCCACAAGATAAACTGGACCAACCCCCTCACTTTTCTTTAAACTGTGACAAAACATATATAATGTAAAACTTACTATTTTAGCCATTTTAAGTGGCTTTGAATACATTAATAATGTTGTACAACCATCACCACTATCCATTTCCAGAACTTTTTCATCTCCCCAAACTGAAACTCTACCCACTAAACAGTAACTCCCCACCCCTCCCCTCCTAGGCTCTGATGACCTCTATTCTACTTCCTGTCTTTATGACTTTGCCTATTCTAGGTTCCTCATATAAGTGAAATCATACAGTATTTGTCCTTTTGGATCCAACCCCCCTCACATTTTTGGATGAGGAATCAGGCCCAGAGAAGGAAGTGGGTCATCTAAAGTCACACAGCAAACTAGAGACAGAGTTAGGACTCAGGTGTCCTGACTCCCAGCAGGCTCTGCATTCCCAGTGGTGAGTGAGACATCACCTACCATTCTGTGGTCTTGGCTGAACCCCTTGCTCTCTCTGGGCTCAGTCTGTTCGCTCCCCACCACCTACCCATCCTCTCTTTTATCATCTTCCTCCAAAGCTTCCCCTCCTCCTGCCTCCTCTTCTCCAGCTGGTTCCCACCAGCAGATGAAGTGGCCCTGGCCCATGGCCAAGGTTTTTCCTCTTTTGAGCCTGGGGCTTACTTGTAGCACCCATCCCTCAGCCCTCCCAGAATGGCCTCCCCAGCTCTGCTCCCCTCCCTGTAACCTCAGCAACCCCCTCCCATCCCCTCAGGCTCACATTCCCATAATTCTGTGTCTGTGGTCTTCCAGCTCCTGATGTTTGGTTTCAAATCTCATTGTGTCTTCTGAGTTTTATTTTGTGTTTTTTCACACCAAAGGAGGCACCTTTCCCCAGTGCCTCAGGCTGTGACACCCCCACCAGCCCAGAAAGATGTCTGCTTCATCCCACCCCTAAGCCACATTGTCTTTGTCCACAGCTTCCTGGCAGGACCTTAGTACTTTCCACTGGGAATGAGGGGGGTACTTGGATCCCCACTTTGACCTCCGCTACCCTGCCCAGTCCTGCATGGCCTTTTTTGGAAAGCAGATGCAGCCTGGCTAGGTTCTTCTCTCCTTCTCCCTGGGACCTTTCAACCATCTGTCCTTTTGACGTCACCATCTTTTGCATTCTCCCCTGAAAAAGCTTGTCCTAGCAGAACCAGTAGCTCACCCTGGCACTACCCCTTACCCCTCCCAACAGTGTTTGCAGTTTGCAAAGTCCACAGACCCAAGAACCAAAGGGGACTGGGGACATGATGCTGGGCCTGAGTCCCCTGCCCAGGGCTCCTCCCAACCCCTCCCTGACCCTCCTTAGACCCTCCCTTGTCTATCCCACCAGCCCTACTTCCTTCCCTTCTGCCTTTCACCAGCCCTCTGGACCCTAGGCTCTAAGGAAAGGAGCTTTGATTTCCTCTAAGCATCCTTGAAGGGCCAAAGTTGTCAGGGCCTGGCCACCTTGTCACTCTTCATTCTGATACCACTCAAACTGCTCCCATGAGAAGGAACCTCAGCCAGGAGTCTGGAGACCTGGCCCAGGTCTGGGCAGATGTCAACTTCTCTGCGTTTGGCTGGTGGTATGATTTTACGATGACCAGAAGGATGATCCTTAGGGCTTCAGAGCACCTCTCGTGTTTTCGGGTCCTATGTCATCACCCTCTTTCCACTGGGCCCTGCTGTACTGGCTCCTCTCTCAGCTCTGTCACTGATCTCTGTGCCTTAGTTTACTTCTCCACACAGGGGGGCTCACCACAGGTCTGTTCCTAGCTTTTTCCCAGACATTTTGGTACCTCTAATGCAGGGCCTCGCCAGCTGTCCCCAGCTCCCTGACACTGCCTTGGGGCACAGGTTGCTGAGGATGAGATGCCTGGACATTCTCAAAGAAGCAGGAGCATAACCTGGGAACCTGATAGAAATGAAAAGTGTTGGCCCCACCCAAGACCTACAGAAGTAGACCTCTTTTTTGGTGGGGTGCTCAGCAAGCTGGGGTGTAGTAAGCCCTCCAGATGATTCTGACATACATAGGAGTTTGCCAACTGTTGGTCTAGGCTAACAATTAGTGCGGCCTGGTGAGGGACTGAGGCTGGCCCTGACCAGGAAGGGGTGGAAACACCAGCCTCATCTGGACTCCTGATAGATTGGAAAACTCCCTCCACACCCTCCTCCTCCTCCCCAAGAGTAAAACAAAACTATATTCTCCTCTTCCTGGAAACTGCAGGTCTGGGAGAAGGCATACATTTTTCATTTCCCTGCCCCTGCCTTGGTTCCACTTCTACCCACCTCTCCCACTTGTCTGGGTTTTACAAAAGGTTGTGTAGGGTTGTGCCAGTCAGGCAGGGGGTGGAAGTCCTGGAGGGTGTGGGAGACAAAAGACCCTGATGGTTTATCCCTTGGGAATCTCACCATAGGCTTATGGCCTCTCTTCAAATAGAAAGAAACTTAACTCCTCAAAGAAAGAACCCTAAATCCCCAGCCAGCTCCTCCTCCTTCTCCCACCTCCAGGGAGACCTTGTAGACAGTGCCAAAAACAGCTCCAACCCCCAGCAGCTGGGGAAGAGAGCCAGAAGCTGTCCCTCCTCATCCTGGCCCCCCTCCCAACCCCCACCAATACTGTGAAGCCCCCTTCCTGCCCAGCCTGGCTTCCTGGTGTGGCCTCTACAGTCGTGGGCCCTAGGGAAGGAAGGGAAAGGCCTTTGGGAAGGAAGGGACCAAGGGCATCCTTGGGCCAAACTGTCCACCTCTCCTGTCCACTGTTCTCTCCTCCCCACTCCTGTCTTCAAAAGGCTCCTTCCCAGGATGGATTGGGTGCTAGGACAACCATGGTCCAATCCGCCAGCTCTCCTTGCCCCCGTGTCTTATTTCAGACATGAGAATACTGTACAGTGTAAACTTACAAAGGGTTTTTAATGGTTGTAGATTGAAAATAAAGTATGTCATATGAACAGTTTCCGTGGACTTGGCCTCCTCTCTGATTTCTCTTGTAAGGTGGGTGGGGTCCCCAGCAGATTTGAAACCTGACTCTACCCCACCCCCAGTTACCTGGGAAGGAGGGAACCCTGGGAATGCCACAGCCAGCTGGCTGGTATGGGGTCACTTGGGAGGAGCCTCCAGGGGTTCCTGGCCGCTGACACCTCTGAGTCTTCCATGAAGGGTGGTATCATCACTGAGAAACAAATGCAGAGTACTCAAAAATGGAATTGAACCTTTCTACAAAAGACTTCTAAAAATTTATCATAAAAAAAGACACTATAGACATGAGTTGATTATCTATTACAGTATAATTAATTATCCCTAAACACATCACAGATGCTGTGGATCAGGAATTCAGGAGCTGGGTACTTCCGACTCAGGGTCTCCTGAGGTTGCAGTTAAGTGTCGATAAAGCTGCAGTCATTGGAATGGGCTTGAGTGGGGCTGGAAGATCCATTCACAAGGTAGCTCACTCATATGACTTGCTCCTGGGAGCAAGTCAGTGTTGGCAGGAGGCCTCATTCCCTCCTCATGTGGACCTCTCATTGGGCCACTTGAGTGTCCTCACAGCATGGCAGCTGGCTTCCCCCAGAGCAAGTGATGCATGAGAAAGTGGGGTCGAAGTTACAATGTCTTTTATGACCAAGTACACTATCATTTCTGCAATATCTTATTGGTTATATCGATCAGCCCTACTCCTTATGGAAGAGGACTGACTATACAAGGGCATGAACACCAGGAAGTGGGGATCCTTGGGGGCCATCTTGGAAGTCAGCTGCCACATGAAAATCATACAGAGCTCCTCTTTTTTGAGGGCCTAACAACAGTCAGTCCTGTGCTAGGCATTGAGGACAACAGTACATGGGCCTGAAAAACAGGAAAGCGAATGTCAATGGCAGTGGGGTGCCCAGGGAGCCAGGAGGAATCAGGAAAGGCTGCAGAGGGACCTCTGAACCTAAGGTTGAGACATTGACCAGATGGAGATGGTAGGGTGTTGTAGGAAGGAGACTGAGAGGAGATGTTCCAGGGAAAGGGAACAGCATATATGAAAGCCTAGTAGAAAGCCAAGCAGAACTGGGGAAGTGAAAGAAGTCTCTAGTGTGGGGAGTGATGAAACAGGCTGGGTCAGATCATACAGTACCTTATGAGGGAAGGAATGTGCACGCCCCGTGGACAATGGGGAGCCATGTAAGAACTGAAAGTAGGGACAGGACATAGTCAGAGGATGTACTGGGTCTGGATTCCATGAAGCAGTACACTCACTGTGCCCCAGGATGGCCAGTTCTGGCTGTGTTCTATTCTTGGGACATTGACAAATAAGTGGTTGAAGGAGTAGGGTGGGCATTGAAGGAACTGGGCCCCAGAAAGTGCTATTCAGGGAAAAAAGGAAATCTCTGCTTTCAGATGGCTGGTGGGAGCCAACATTCTTGGAACCACAGGGTGGAAACTTCAGGAAGGCAGATTTCTGCCTACCACCAGAAAGCTTTTCCAAGGACCACAGCTGCTATGGAAGGATTTCCACAGTCACATTCCAGCTGCTGCTCACCAACCCTTCTTCCAGATTTTGTGGACTGTTCGTAATTCAATACTTGGACAGCTCAGATCCGAAAGGATTGCACACGCAAGGAGACATTTTGATGGCATCATGCTGGGTGCCGAAGCAGCAGTCTGCTCTCTTGAGAGCCCCCAAGCCAGCAAGGGATAGTGGACCAGGCACAGGCTGGACTCCTGGGAGCAAAGAAGGAGCATCTGGTTTTCAGCCTGGGGCCTCAGAGAAGACTGAAGCTTAAAATTTAAGAGAATTTTGCCAAGAAGAAGCAGGGAAGGGCTTCCCAGGCAGAGAGAATGGTAAAAGTAAAGGAGCAGAAGCAATGAGGGGTGACCAGAGGAGCAGAAAGCAGTTTGGGGAGGGGGTGGCCTGCAAAGGAGACTTCTTAAACTTTGCCAAGTATTGAAGGGAACCACAAAAGGAGAAAAAGTGTTAGAATAGGACTTGAAAAAGTGTTCCTAGTCCGCCCTGGGACAGTAATGGTCCACATTTTTTGGAGTTAAGAAGATAAAAGAGGGGGCGTGGCCTAGCAACGGGGCAGGGCATCATCACTGCCCGCCCGCTAGTGCACTATCTTCCTTTGGAAGGTACCGCTCTGGGCCTTTGTTTCCCCATCTTAGAAAAGCTCTGGGTATGTGTGGCGCAAAGGACACGATAGTGCGACGGGACTCCGTTAGTGACTCCCTGGGCATGCCATAACTGGGAATGTTGCAACGTGGCCAAAACTGGGCTGTGAAGGACTTGGCAAAGGGGGCGGGGCTGGTAAGAGCCTTGAACATCGGTTTGCGCATGCACCTTGAGGAAGCCGGCGTTCTGCGCGTGCGCGAGCCATAGAGGCCGCCGGCCGCGCATGCGCCCTTGGCTGGCGGGAGTTTCGCGAGAGGCGGTAGTGGCGCGGAAGGCGAATGGCGCCGCTGGTCCATACCGGGAAGAAGCAGCCACCTTCGCGCCGAGCGTCCAGGGGTAACCCCGGGCCGTGGAGAAAGTGACCTGCGGCCTTGTGTTTCGAGGACGAAGGCTCCGGGCCGGACGCGCGTCGCCCTGAGGTCAGGAAGTCGCAGACTTGTCCCTGGACTCGGCCTCGCTCAGCCCCGCGCCAGTCTTTTTGGAGTCGGAGCCCTCGGCCCCGCCCAGACCCGACCCGTCTCCACTCCCCGACAGCGGGGACTTGGGGGGAGGTCTCCGGGGCTCTGCAGCCTCCTCCTGGTGAGAGGAAACCCCAGGGCGGGCGTTTGTAGAGGCCGCTCAGGGCGTGTTTTGTAGAGCCAGCGGTCTGGACTCCAGAAGCGGTTGAGGGCTGGGGATGGGTTACAGGCCAGGCAGGGTTCGAATTTCATCTTTGCTCCAGGCTGGCTGCATAAAAAGTTTGGGCCAGGCTTTTGCCCCTCTGAACCTCAATTCCCCTATTTGCAAGGTGAAATTAATGTTGATTAAGAGCTGTGGAAAGGATTGATGGGATAATGATGCAAACAGTGTTTACATGCATTCATTGGTCCTGGCATATAAATTGGTACCGTTGTTGCTGCTGTTATGCAGGCTTTCATCTATGGGATACAGCCATATAGCTGGCGATTTAGATCCTTGACCTCCCCCTTGTTCTCTTTTCCTCGTTGTCCCTCCACATAAATTCTTTCCCTTTACTAAGCACCCTCCACGTACAGATTTCTGCTGCTGGGGAGGGGTAAGCACGGAAGATGTAGAGGTGCCTCCCTCATGTCCCTGCCCTCTTCCATTCAGTCGATTGTCTGTGACAGGCCCTAGGAATACAGTCTGGCCGGGAAGACAGACATGTGAACAGACTTTACAGCCAGTGCTAGGGAGACTTAGGGGTGGAGCAGCCAACTCTGCCAAAGAGAAGTGATGTGAATGCTTCATGTTTGAGCTAAATTGGGAAGGATGAATAAGTGTTACAAGCAACGTGTGCAGATTCAAAAGTGGTTCATGGAATGGAAGTGGCAGGAGAAAGCAGGAATGGGTAGTTGGGACTAGCTCCTGGAGGTGTTGAATATACTGGAAGAACCTCTGCTGCAGTCTAAAGAATGGACTGGAGAGGAGCAATACTGCATGGAGGAGAACTGGTGGAGAGGTTGTTAGATTCTTGAGGGGAGTGGGAGAGAGTGGTGGAAATTATGACACCTGAGCTAAATTGATAACTGGAAACGGAGAAGAGCTTTAGAGACTGTTGGAGGTAGAGAATTTTTTTTTTAATGGAGGTGCTGGGATTGAGCCCAGGACATTTTGCCTTCTATACACTCTACCACTGAGCTACACGCCACCTCCAAGCTAGAGAATATTTCTAGCAATGAATTCTGTAGAAATTCAGAGAGTGATGATCTCTGCTGATACTCTCTGGAGGAGGTGGGGGAGGTGGGATTGGGCTGGGCCTTGTTAGGTAGAATTTCGTGGGGCAGAGATAGGCAGATCAGAGAGACTGGAAAGCACAATGCCTATTCTGATGTAGTAAAGCCCCAGCAAGACTGGGACTGAAATGTGAAGAACAGATCACCTCATCTTCCTATTTTCAGGGTTCTCCACCCAGATGACTTCAGTGACTAGATTGGAGATTGTAGAAGGTGAGTATTATAGTGAAATTCAGTACCTCTTGCCTTGGGTTCCGGTTCCTGAGCTATACCTAAATACCTTCCTGGCTCCTGGTGGATTTGGAATCACTTACTCATGTATTTGCAGATATGCTTCCTCAGTGTTTCCATGATCTCGGGCATATGTTTTCTTTTTCCACTTTTTTGCATACTTAGTTGTGATGGGTTTGATTCTGTATTTTGACTTTTTTATAACAAGTGCTAGAAGAAGAACCAGTGACATCCAAGACTTATGATCATCAATTGGAATCAGATCCCATCCCTGCAGAAGCGTGTCATAAATCATCTGCCTCCCTGGAGATGACTGAAGGCGTTTCAAAGGAACGAATTCACCTGGGCACTAGCCCCCAAAAAAGGGAAAATTGTGATCTCAGCCGCCAGGAAGGACTTCAATCCAGGTCCCTTCATTTGTCCCCCCAAGAACAGTCTGCCCGTTGTCAAGACAGGAGGCAATCCTGGCGGCGAGCAAGTATGAAAGAAACGAACCGGCGGAAGTCACTGCCTCCCTTTCATCAGGGCATCACAGGTGGGGTGCTATGTGCATAAGACAGTGGAGTTCCAGCTCAGATAGGAGGCAGTGAGGTATGGCAGAAAGGTAGACTTGACTTGGCTGCTTACTTGCTATGTGGCTGAGCAGATCACTTCACCTCTCTGAGCTTCAGTTTCCTCAACTGTAAGAGGAATATTCTAAGATTATAAGTACTGATGTCAAACACCTAGTAAGTATTCAATATCATTGTTATTTGTATCTTAGTATTAGCTGTCTATTGTAATTTATACCATGAGAGGAAAATGTGATTTACAGTTTTGTGCAGCATGCACCTCTGCTAAGTGAATGTTCAACATTCACTTCTGCTAGAAATAAAGATTTCTAACTGTGGCTTTCTGCTTTATATCCTAAAGTAGAACAGAAGGTGTATGGGTTGCTATCTGATTTTAGGCTTTATAACCGAAAATATCTCAGGGGGAAGAGCACATAAAAATAGAGTAAAAACCTAGTTTTTAGACATGCTGTATTTGGATGTGATTTTGTGTGAATCTTTAATAACATCTCAGTAAGCAGTGAAGTACAAGATTTGATCTGAAGCACAAGAGCACATTTCAGGAAGAACATAATAGCTGTGTGACCTTGAGCAGGTTACTTAACCTTTGCCTTATGGTCCTCATCAGTAAACAGAAAGGAATAATACCAGTTTTCAGGGTTGTGTGAGGATTAAATGAATTGATATGTAACACACTAGTTGGAATGTCGTAAGTAAGTAGAACAAGTGTTAAGCTGTTGTGATTATGTTAGAGCTATTACCTCATTTCCAGTTGGTCTGATGTCTAGAAGGAGACCTGGATAAAAACAGCCATTTAGCATATCAGAGAATTGCTATCACAGTTATGCTCATACACCTGACTCCTTAGATGTGCCAAGAAACTTCAATTTCCTAAGATTACCCTTACCTTCATCTCTGTTCCAGAGCATGTGGACCTAAAATTCTGTGTAATAGAAAATCACTGATGTAATAAGATTTGCTATTTCCTGGTTATTTCTGGCCACTTGCCAGGTTTCTTTGGTTATAGGCAGAAGGTATCCTGTTTTTCATGACTAACAGCAAGGAGAAGTAATCAAGAGAGGATACAAAAGAACTTTAAAAACACAGCCAGCTAAATCTGGAGGGTAAAAAGACATGTATCTCTCATAATTCTCAAAGCAGATTTCCTTTGCTGATGTTTTGAAGAACTGATGTTTTGAAATGGATGTAGTGGAAAAAACAGTGTCTACATCTTTTAGCTGCTTGAGAATTCACTGGAATAATTATGTGAAATGCCCATCCAATTCAGGCTGACTCACTGTGTGATCTTGGGCAAATTACCTATTTCCTAACCTTTGCCAAATGGAATTGATAAGATAGTTGCCTGAGTTTTAATGAGGTGTGTATGGCATTTAGTAAAATGTCTTTTAGATAGCAAGTGTTCAACAGATTACTATTAATATTATTATTAGGTCATAGAGAGGCAGCATGGTATTAGTGGGAACAACGCAGGTTTTGGTGACAGACTTGGGACTGAATTCTGGCTATACCAGTAACTAGCATCAAACAAGTCATCTCCCCTCTGGGCTTCAGTTTCCCCATCTGTAAAATGGACCTCATAGTTTATAAGAAGATTCTTAAGACAGTGGATTTAAAGCATACTGCAGTGCCTGTCATAAAAATACTGAAATGTTCCCATCTCCTTTGAGTGGTGAACATAAAATATAAAAAGAATTTAAATTTTTTTAAAATCTACCTTGTTTAGCAAGACAAGATTTTAATATAATACATAAAAGGTTCTTCTAACTTTTTAAAGTTAAGATGCACAGATGAGTAAATTTCATTCTTTGGTGATCCTGAACAAATTAGATGTGATTGTATATGAATTCTCCCTTTAATTAGAGAAGGCTGCTTGGGTTTTCTTACCTTAAGTTGGACTGCATCAAGGGGGAGGAAATTTTTCAGGTTTTTTAAGCTTTGCTCACTATAAGTATCCAGCTACTTAAAGGTGGTGCTATTTTATGTTAGAGCTCTGCAGATCCATCAGTGTCAACATGGCAGAAAGCAAACGGCTGGGCTCTCTTCTGCTTTCCAGTTTCCAGGTAAGATTCTCGGGATTGGGAAATGCTTCTTCCCTCCTCTCCCCTCCCCTCCCCTTTTTTAAACCTCTTACTGTGATAGCCCCAAAGAGAGATCAATACTGTGTGATTTATCACTTAAAATTAAAAGATGTTTCTTTCTAGTTGGGATTAATTTAAAAGTCAGATTTTATTCCAGCAGCTGATTTGTCTCTGGACTAGGCTCTACCAATCCCATTGGTGCTGCTGCCACTAACTGAGCAGTTAACAGAGATTTCCCCAGTCTAGTCTCTCTTGCACATTGGCAGCAAATGATGGGAATTTAAAGTGGGTGGGGGTCAAATCTAAGTTAAGGCAGATATTTGAGGTCTGACTACATTCTGAGTTGGTATTATATTGCTGCTTGGTGATCACATCAGTTTAGATAAGTCATTTGTGTGATTACATGACTATTTTTTCCTGAATCAAAAATCAAATTGTATAGTCTGAGCAACGAAGAGTTTTTTCCCTTAACTTTTTCTGTTTAATTATATGAAAAATCTTAGGTTAAAAATTAAATCATGTTTACTTTCATATTCATTAAATATCATAAAATTACATGAACTCAGGACTGGCCTGGGAAATCTTGGTTGTTATACTGAAAATGCTTTTCTTTATTTAGTTCTCTGTTCAGAAACTTGAACCTTTCCTAAGGGGCACTGAGGGCTTCAATCTTGAAAGTTACAAAGCCAAAGGTAAGTTGCTAAGACTAGATGAGTGAGCTTTGACCTTGGACTGCATCTTCTGTTAAGGTTAGTTGATCCACTCTCAGGATCCCCATTTCCATGAACTGCTGCCTCATAAAACCAGCGCCCTCCTTTTTTGGGGAATTGCATTTTAAAAAGGTAAGAATATGTGCTTAAGAAGTTCAGAAGGTCTAAAAAGTGAAAAGTAAGCCTCCCTTCCACCCTGATCCCCAGTCTTAGTTCCTCTCCTCAGAGGCAACCATAGCCATCAGCTTCTTGTGTATCCTTGCAGAGACATTACTTCATTTCCAAACATTTATAAGTTAAAATCTAATGGGTAATCCTGTCTGCACTGTTTTTTTACCTTGTCTTTTTCTAACTTAGTAATTTATCTTGCAGATTGTTTCATGTCACACAAATAGAGCTATCTTGATATTTTAGTAGCTACATGATATTCCATTTTATAAATGGATTATCTCTATCTGCTGCCCACATTGATTTAATCATCTCTTTATTAATGGGCTTTTGGGGTTGCTTTCAGTCTTTTGCTATTCCAATGAATAGGGTAATGAATACCTTTTTACACAAGCCTTTGGGCATGTATTCAAGTAAAAATAAGATAAATTCCTAGAACTGGAATTAGCAAGATCAAATGAAATTATAGAAATTACCAGATTGCCTTCCTAGAAAGTTTATATCAATTTATTCTCTCACCAGCAAAATATGTAAGTACCTGTTTTCTCATATTCACCACACAGTTTTATCCAGCTTTAGATTTTTTACCAGTTCATAGTTGATAAAAGGTATTTTTGTAGTTCTATTCTGTTTTTCTTTTTTCCTTTGAAAAGTATAACCATTTTTTTTGTATTTTTTAAAGCCATTTGTACTTTATTTTCTGTGTGTTGTCTGTTTGTATCCTTTGCTCATTTAAAAAAATTGGAATATTGGCTCTTTCATACTGATTTTGTAGGAATTCTTTATATATTAAAGAAATTAGCTGTTTGTTTCTGACATAAGTTACAAATATTCTTTCACAGGAACCAATTTTAAACTTCCTAGAAAGTAGATATTCTCCTTACTTTATGATGACACAATCATCCAGGTCAGAAATACTCAAGTGCTACCCACTTAAAAGACCTAGAAAATACATGAACTCAGACTAACTTGCCCGTTAAAATTGTTTATTTCAGAATTGCACCGTCACCATAATTAGAGTTGATGTGCCAAAGTTATTTTGATAACTACTTAACATAACCTTTCCCCTCTGCATTCCTCACCTGAATGTAATTGTAGACCCTTCCAAGTCTAAGCAGAGACCGTTTTTACCTTATGCCCATAATTCTTTGCTTCCAGCTATTTCTCATTACACTTTTGCCATTACCTGACTGCTCTAATATGTTCTTCCATCCAGTGCCAACAGTTCATATCTTGAAAAGAATGAAATGTCAGTGCAGATAAATCTTTTTAACTGCTTTTTCACCAGTCCAATGTAAAAGAAGAATAAATAAGTATCATAAAGAGGAATTGTCTTTCATTTTATCTTTATTTACCCAAAGGAAAAAGATAAAATCTTCCTGTATATTTATAGCATTTTTTCAAATGGGTGAGAGGGCCAGAGTATAACGGGTCCCTGGAGCTAAGACCACCTTAAGAATGTTATATCTTTGTCAGCAGCTCACTGAAAATTTATATTCTCTTTATTTTACAACATGTAATTTTGTTCTCCCTAGCATCTTCTCTTTCGGAAGAATTGAAACATTTTGCAGACAGTCTGGAAGGTAATGGAGCTCTACAAAAATGTTTTGAAGATCCAGAGGGGTAAGAGCAATTCCCCTTCTGTCCAAAATTGTAATTGAATGAAGACTTTTTAATTAGACAGTTGTACATTCACTCAGCAAACATTTATCCAACATCTCCTATGTATCAGGCTCTTAAGATACAGTGATAAATAAGTCAAACAAGATCTCTCTTACGTATTATAGTAGGAGAGACAGTCAAACAAATACATAGAAAATAATGATTTCAGATACCGATAATCCCAGAAGTCGCAGTAAATGTGATAGTGACTTGAGAGGGTGGGCAACTTTAACTAGAATGTTCAGAGAAGTCCTCTAATGATTTGACCTTTGCACTGAGACCTGAACGGTGAGAAGGAGCCAGCAATGGAAGGAGAGGAAAAGCATTCTTCAGATCTTGGCAAGCCTTGCAAATTGGAGATGAACTTATGTTCTTTAGCTGTTGGCAAGCAAGAATATTAGGAGAAATTTAAAATCCCACCTCCAAACTGGTAGTTCCTGTGCAGGAGTGCACATAACCCTCCACCCCTGTCTACAACAAATAATGTCACTTGGACTTACATTATGAACTCCTTAGTTTTGACTTCACAAAGGTCTACCTTTCCATGACTCCTTAGAATTAACATTGCTATTCAGGAAATAATGTCTATTGACAGATGACTGGATAAAGAAAC